TAATTTTAGTGATATCACGCAGGTGGAAGAAGGCAGTCCTGGTAACATTTTTAATGTGGGGGTTAAAAGACATGTCCTGATCAAAAATAACACCAAGGTTCTTACTGTTAATTTGTGTTACTTCACTTTATGATACAGGATTATAACATAATGGTCTTATTTATTTTCTATATATTTTATTTACTTAGTTGTTTTTTTGTAAACAAGAGAAACAAGGTTGATTCTCTTCATTTTCTTCTTCACTACCAGGGTTTAGCCAAGGAGTCCGACGCTCAGTTGGAGGTCTGGCCACCATCCTGGGTCCTCTGTGGGCTGGAGGACTGACCAATAATTTGTACCTCATGCTGGGAATGATGCTGGCTCTTCTCGTAATGATCACAGTGAGTAGAACACGGTGCTGAACTGCCAACACTTTCTGCCTCCTGGATGAGCCCAGAAAGGCTCAGCAGAGCAGGGGCCGAGGACTGAAGTGGTCCTCTTCCAGTTGGATGTTTGGGTGCCTGATCTGAAGCTCTAGCATGTCTTTGGACAAGATCTGAGGCCACTTCAGCTTTATATGCTAACTGGAATCATCCAATCCCAATACCAGTGAAGTTGAGACATCGTGTAAAACAAATAAAAACAGAATATGATGATATGCAAATCCTTTTCAACMTATGTTCAACTGAACAAACTACAAAGACAAAATTAAATGTAATTTCACTGAGCTCTGTACAATGACAAAAAAGTCATCATAATGTTCAAACAAATAAACTTTATTGTTCTTTATGTCACTCATTTTGAATTTGATCCTGCAACATGTTCCAAAAAAGCTGAGAAAGAAGCAAAAAAAGACTGGGAAAGTTGAGGAATGCTCAAAAACACCTGTTCAGATCATTTCAGGTGAGCAGATTCATTGGAAATAGGTCAGTGTCATGATTGGGCATAAAGTGTGCATCCCTGTAAGGCTCAGCCATTCACAAGTAAGGATGGGGCGAGGTTCACAACTTTGTGAGTAAATAGTCAACAGTGACATCTGTGAAGGCAGCATTAAAGCTGAAAGCTACATCCAAGTTTTAGAGCAACATATGCTGCCGTCCAAGACACGTCTTTTTCAGGAACGTCCTGCTGATTTCAGCAAGACAATGAAGACACATTCTGCAGGTGTTCCAACAGCGTGGCTTTATAGTAAAATATGAAAACGGAGACCTCAGACTATTGAGCAACTGAAGTTGTTCATCAAGCAAGAATGAAGGAATTCCAGCTAAAAACAGCAACAATTAGTGTCCTCTGTTCACAAACMCTCACCAGCTGCATTTCCATTGACCATGAAAATGCGCAAATTAGAATTTCGAAAATAAATTTGCTCAATGGAAACAYGTCAATTTWGAGAAAAATTACGTTTTTCGACAAAATGTTTTTGTGCTAGGATGAGGTGGTTTTTCGGCCGTATCGAATTTGTATTTTTCGCAAAACTGCAATGGAAACACTTTTTTC